GGTAGACGGAGTCATGCAACCTTTTTCTTCCCAGACTGGTTTCAAACCAGGATCTCAGCCTCCCAGGTAGCTAGGATTATAGGCATGAGCCAACTCTACCTAGCTTAAGAAGTACATCTCTTCCCCAGAAGTTTATAGTCTAGTAAGGAAAGTAAGGGTATTTACAGTGTGTTTGCTATATGCCCAGAACTGTGCTAAGTATTTTACAAAGGTATTTTATTTATTCCTCTGAATAACCCAAATGAAATAGGAATTATTGTGACTTCCATTTATAGATGAGTAAGCAATGTAGTGGCATGTGGAAGGCCATATGATAGTAACTAGAAAAGCGAGAAAAAACAAAAAAAATAAATTAGGTAACATACATAGGCGGATTATGCCCTGTAACCCTAGCTACTCAGGAGGATGAGATCTGAAGATCACAGTTTGAAGCCAGTCTGGAGAGGATAATGTTATCTCCAAATCTGTTAACCACCAAAATGCCAAAAGTGGAGGTGTACAACTCAAGTGGTAGAGTGCCAGCCTTGAGCAAAAAAGCTAAGAGACAATTGCTAGGCCCTAAGTTCAAGCCCCAGTACTAGCACAAAAAAGAAAAAAAAAGAGGGGTGAGGGAAAATGGAGCACTGAGGTAGGGGTAATGGCAAAGGCATGAGGTCAGGTGTCAGAGACCTCCCTGAAGAAGGAAGTGAAAATTCAAGCTGCCTAGAAGGGTGAAAAGAACTTGGCCAGGTGAAGAGGCAGCAGGGAGACAGAAAGAGTGGGGTCAGTTGAACATCAAAGGTAAAGCTCTGGATGGGAACCATTGTTTGGTGCTACTGAGAACGTGGCTGAGAGTCAGGAAGAGCAGGTAGAGAGACTGAGCAAGAGCAGGAAAGGAGAGACTTGTTATGTAAGGAAAATACTTAAGGAGGCAAGGAAGAGGTAGGATGAGAATTGTGTGTGTGTGTGTGTGTGTGTGTGTGTGTGTGTGTGCTGGGAGTTGAACTCAGGCCTTTGAGTTTTTTTTTTTTCTCTCAAGGCTGGTGTTGTATACTTGAGTCACACTTCCACTTCTGGCTTTTTGCTGGTTAATTGAAGAGTCTCATGAGTTTGTCTACCTGGGCTAGTTTTAGACTGAGATCTTTAGATCTCAGCCTCCTGAGTAGCTAATATTACAGGTGTGAGTCACTGGCACCTGGCTTAGGACTGATTTTTTTTAACCTGTGAAGAACACAAGGGAGGAGCACACAATTTCACTGGTGTTTGGACCACTGAACCAGACTAGGGTGGTAACAGTAGTTACTAGATAAGTGATTGGGGTGTGAAGAAAAAAAAGATAGGCCCTTCTGTTCCTTATCCCAAGGTCCAGTTATTTATTTATTTTATGCACATCTTAGTGAACCCAGCACATGGTGGTAGTGGGGTGCTGTCCCAAGGCTTTTTGTTTTTGTCTTGCTCAAGGCTAGCACTCTACTACTTGAGTCACAGCTCCATGTCTGCCTTTTTGGGTAGTTTATTGGAGATAAGAGTCCCATAAACTTTTCTGCTCTGGCTGTTTTCAAACTGTGATCCTCAGATCTCAGCCTCCTGAGTAGCTAGGATTATAGGCATGAACCACTGGTGCCTGGCAAGGTTGTTATTTAATAGGTAACTTTCATTTTACTCACTGGCTTCATAAATATCTTCTACCTGTGCCCCCTACTCCCCATTCTCACTGCTACTGGCCTAGCTCAGAAGTTTCTCTACCTTCAGATGGGTTCCTTTCCATACCATTCATACCATCTTCTGTGCCATCCTAGCTTTTTTTTTTTTTTTTTCAGCACTGGGGATTTGTTTCCTCTCCCAGTATTGGGACTATACATTCCTTGGATCTCTTGAATGCTAGGTATGTGTTGTAGAATTCTACCCTGACCTTATGTTAGTGTATGTTCTAACTCAGTCAAGTCAGTCCAAGCCTCACTCTTCTGACAAAGACTCTATTTCAGGATTAAGGCTAATCTCTATCTGATCTGGTCCCAGTCTCCTTGTGTGAGTTTATTCTCCCCTTCTCAGGTCAATGTTCCCAAAAGGCATTACATCTACTGAGTCCCCAATGTCACTTGCAAGTTGCAGTAAATGTCCTCCATGGTCCTAGGTCTTTTCCATCAACAATGTGCTTATATATTTACAAAAAATATACTTGCCCCATTCCTCAGAGGTCACATGGTCTTTGCATTGCTAGGAATTTGCCATCCACTTCTCTCTGCTAAATTTCTATTCACACTTCAAGTCTCAGCTCAGATATCAGTCTCTAGGCTTTTGTAACACTCCTATTCCCCTGATAGGATTAATTGCTTTTTTGTCTGTGCTTCTAAGGCACTTTACACATAGCTCTATCCTAGAATAGTACTTATTTTATTGTATTATGGATATCTAAAGAGCACAGGCTAATGCAATCAACAAATGCTCCTGTCCCTGAAAGGTGGCTGGGAAGATTAACTGTGACAATATACATACAGTTTATATTTCTTCATCCCTTTCCTAATAATACTAACAATATATATTACATTTTGAAATCAAATACTTTAAGATCATACTACATACTACCTGGATTGATCTGGGAATAAACTTGTAAGATAGGAATAGTATTATTATTATTATTATGTATAGTTGAAGGAAGTGAAGTACATAGCAGTTAAAAAGTGGTAATGGTTATTCAGGTGGCTGAGATATAACAATCTCAGTTTGGAGTCAACCTGGACAGACACATCCTTGAGACTCTTACTTCCAATTAACCAGAAAAAAGCTGGAAGTAGAGGCTTGGCTCAACTGGTAGAGAGCCAGCCATGAGTTGGGTGTGGGGGACTGGAGGCAGCGTGAAGCTGAGCAAGTTCAACCCCTAGTACTGGAAAAAAGAGAAATAAGGATAATATAGGGGTAATAGATTAGTGGTGGAGCTCTTGACTTTTGGCAGTCCCTGAGTTCAATTCCTAGTATCAACAGCAAGATAATATAGCTGGTTAAGTGGCATATCTGCCACATAACAGTTCTTCCTTGCTATTTGTTAAAATGAAGTCATATTTTTCTGGTTATAAAATCCGTGTTCTATTTTTTTACTAAAGAAATAAAAAATATATTTATAAAGTGCATCATGATGTTTCACTAGATAGATATATGTCTCTATATAATATACACACACCTGTATAAATACACAAATAAGGAAACATCATATATGCATGCATTCATACATACACTGTGGAATGACTGAATCAAGATAATTAATATATGCATTATTTCACATTGTGGTGAGAATATTTAAGACCTACTGTTAGCACTTGCTTGTACTAATTATAGTCACTTGTACTAATTATAGTCACCCCGTTATAATAATCTAGACATATTCCTCTAACTAAAATTTTATATATTTGAACATAATCTCCTCAATCTGTGATCTTTCCGTTAAATCTCACTGCTTCTTGTATGCTCTAAGCAATATTTTTTCAAACTACAAGTAGTCACTCATTGTTGATTAGTATATTCAATGAAGTAGGGACTCCAAAATGTTCAGGGTATATTACATATTGTAAAGATGACCAGAATCCTCTGATAATTGCTTCAGACATGAAATGTATTAAATATATGGGTCCAGATTTTTTGTCTTTTTCTTGTTATTATATAGGTGCCATACAGAGGGGCTACAGTCACATAAGTCAAGTAATGAGTACATTTCTTTTTGGACAATGTCACCCTTTTCCTCACTCTCTCCCAGCTGTTGGGTCCAGATTTTTACAAAAAGTATAAAAGCCTTTGTGCCAGCACAATGTAAAATTCCAAATAGCATTTTATTAAATGGAATTACAACACTTCTCATTTAGTATTTTTGTTTCCCTGAACTGTCTCCTCCATTTGTAGCTCTGGAAAGAAGAAACCTTTTAGTTGTTGCTGTTGCTGTTGTTGTTTTTCTGATTCCTAGCTGAGTATTTGTTATGAACTGGCCCATTTATAGTGATACTTGTGTGTCAGTTGAAAGGTTGAATGAAGGCAGGACTGAATGGATAATATAGTCAGTTGAAATGACTGTGGTTCTTTCTCCTGCAGGAATTCTTCATGTTTTGCAATGCACAACGTTCAGTCAATGGCTTCCATGAGCCCTATTTCCCTATCAGGGAAACAGAGAAGCCTAGAATAATATGCACTCAAGAAGCACCATTTGGCTGGGTGCCCGTGGCTCAAGCCTGTAGCTCGCCTGTAATCCTAGCTATTCAACGGGCTGAGATTTGAGGATTAAGGTTTGAAGCCAGCCCCAACAGGAGAACCTATGTTTACACACCCCCCCCCCCCCCCCCCCCCCCCCCCCCCCGCCTCCTGGGGCTTGAATTCAGGGCCTGGCCACTGTCCCTGAGCCTCTCTGTGCTCAAGGCTAGCACTCTACCACTTGAGCCACAGTGCCACTTCTGGCTTTTTCTGTTTTATGTGGTACTGAGGAATCGAACCCAGGGCTTCATGCATGCTAGGCCAGCCAGCACTCTACCACCAAGCCACATTTCCAGCCCTGTGAAACTCTGATCTCCAATTAACTACCAAAAAACAAAACAAAAGAAAAAACAAAAACAAAAATCCCAGGCGTGGAGCTGCGGGTCAAGTGGTAGAGCGCTAGCCTTAAGCAAAAAACAAAACAAAACTCAGAGACAGTGCCCAGGCCTTGAGTTCAAGTGACAGAACTGAACCCCCCCCCCCCCCCCCCCCCCGCCAAAACAAAAAACAAAAAAAAGGTATTATTTGCCCTTAGTCAACATGGCATCCAGAATGGCTTCAGGAAAGGGCACCAGAAGGAAAAAAATCCATCCAAACTCAAAACTACTGACCTTAGTCAAAATGGCCTCCTTCAGCTTCACGCCAGCGGAACGCGCATGCTTAGTTTTGTTCCTGTCCCCCGCCCTTTGGTCTGACGCATGCGTTATATAGTGGGCGGTGTGAGTGGAATAAACTTCTCTGTGATTGGCCGGTGCGGGATTTCAAACCCGAGCGGGCAGCGCGGTGCCGCTCTGCCGTTGGGTGAGACGCGTCGGGAAGTGTCTGGCCGCCCAGGTGGGACCTGGCGGCACCCTGAGGAGTGAGCGCGGGGGGCTGCGAGACCAGGGGCGCCGGGCGCCGGATCGACGTGCTGGAGGGCGTGCGGCCGCCGTGGTAAGTTTTTGGCCACCGCGGGGGGTCGGAGGGGAAGGCCGGCCGCCTGTGTCCCGCGGCTGTGGCTTTCCAGGCCGGGGGTGGGGAGGCTTGGGAAGGCCAGGTCTGCTTGTTTTAGTTTTTAATTTGGCATCGGGTCTTGTGGGAAGTGAGAAGTGTTTTAGGGGTGGCTTCTTTTACAGGACCGGAGCCATTCCCTCCCCATTCCCCCCCCCCCCCGACCAAAAAGAAGTGGTGTGTAGTTAAACTCGCTGTCGGAGGGGTGACCTCCCCGCCCCGCTTTTGGAAGCACTGGGTATTTGTAAAGGGAGGAGCCTTGGTGTTTGGGGGGCCGGGGGGGGGCGGCCTGTAAGTGAGCCCCGTCTTCCTGGTGGGCTGGGTCTCTTCAGGTAGGCGGCCCAGGCAACGAATGACATCTTGCCCTTCCCAACTTGTTTCTGAGCCTCAGTAAAGTCACCCTTTGTGTATTTATTTAATTTTTTTTTTTACCCTTTCACGCCCATTTCAGTTCATAAGTATCTGTCTTTGATAGGCCAAGGCTGTGTGTAGGAAATTGGAGTGGGTGGGAAGATAAAAACCCTTAAAAAAAAAAGACATTCTTTTTAATAGGTCAGATAAACACTTTTTAAAAATAAATTAGTGAAATTGTTTTGAGAAGGCACCATCCTATTGCTTGTTTAATCATCCAACAGGTACTTTTATTTTTATAGTGTGTGTGTGTGTGTGTTGGTCCTGGGGCTCAGGGGTGTGTGTGTGTGTGTGTTGGTCCTGGGGCTTGAACTCAGGGTCCTAGGCGCTGTCACTGAGTTTTCTGTTTTGTTTTTTGCTCAAGACTGGTGCTCTATTATTTTTAGATTAAAAAGAAAGATTTTTATTAGTATGCATCAGCCAAGGGTGTGTGACTCACCGGGACATTTCCATAAGCACATCCAATGCATTCTCACCAAACTTGGAAACTCACTCCCTCAGTCAGTCACTGGTCCCCCTTTTCTTAAACAATTTCAGTGGATTCTTACTCAACACTAACTGGTATTATTAAAGTTTAAGTAGAAGGCAATCATACTTAGCCTAAAAAGAATGTGCAGTTTGTTTTGGGTGGCAGAGTTTAAAAAGATATCTGTGCTGAATCTATAAAATGTTGGAATACACCATATAGTATAGTGTTTTTTTTTGTAGCAGGGGCCGGTGGTGAGACAGGGTCTCTGATATTTACCCTAGGCTGGCCTTGAACTTTCCTTCTGTCTGCCTTACTCCTGACTAGCTGGGATTTCAGGCAAGTGGCCTTGGGCCCAGTTAGTATGGCTTTTTTAGAAAGTTTTTTTTTTGGCAGTCTTTATGAAGAGTCTTAAGAGTTTCCACACCCTAATATGTATTAATTGAATGGAGTGGGGGCATGGCTCAGTTGGTAGAGTGCTAGCCAATTAGTGGAAGCATTAGGTACCAAGTTCAGTTCTTGGTCTCAGAACAAAAAAGAAGAAGAAAAGAAATACATTGATTGGAAATTTATCTAAGGAGCATGGTCACCTGAAGAAAAATACTGTTTGATGTTATTCATTCAGTGAGTGCTTTAATCACTAACAAATGTCTTCATTGTTAAGGCACCAGAGGCTCAGCAGTGAACAGAACAGACAAAAATCTTTGCTTCCTGAGAATTTACACCATTAACAATAAATTAAATAAGTATACCAGAATGATAAGTGCTTTTGGGAGCAAAGTTAAGTTGAGAAGTGTCGAGAGGAAAGGCTGCAATTTAAAAGGATGGTTAGGAAAGACTTCACTGAGAAAATGACATGAATAAAGATTTGAAATAGGCTATCCAGGAGATTCCAGGCAGGGTGGTAACTGAAAAATGGAATAATCTAAATATCAAAAGAAGAGAATGATTAAACAGTAGTTGCTCATCAGCTGTTTTGAATTTAATGGAGACATGATAGTAAAAAGCAAAGCACAAAATTATATATAATCTATGATTGCAACTCTGATAAATGAGTGCTCATGGACAAAGGTTAAATATAGAGACACATAACAGTTGGTTAGAGTGATGATGATTTTTCTTTATTTTTTTTTTAAACATAGAAATTTAGCACTATGAGGCAGTGTTTCTGCTCAGTGAGTGTTTTAGATAATAAGGGAGATCATTGTGGATTGAAATGAAGGCTTCATTGAATTGGTAAGACTTATTTTAGACCTTGAATAAAACAGTTAAGACAGAAGAATTCACAGAAAAAAAGATTAGTAAGCTGAGTTTCTACTAATTTTATAAAAAAAATCATTATTCAGTTCTCATTTCTTCATATTGGGTTGAAGATATTCTGTTCACTCATTCTGCATTAGTTTGTTCACAAGAACAATGCTTTTTTTGAGGGGGTGAGGGGGTGGGAACCTGGAATGTGGCTCAGTGGTGGAACACTTGATTACCATTTACAAGGCTCTGAGTTCAATCCCTAGCACTCTAAAAACAGACAAAAATTTGATCTCATGATAGTATTTTTTCTTTTTTCTTATGTGGTGCTGAGGAATCGAACCCAGGGCCTCAGGCATGCAAGGCAAGCGCTCTACCACTGAGCCACCTTCCCAGCCCGATAGTATATTTTCTTCTTCTTCTTATTTTTCCCCTGTCAGTCGTGGGGCTTGAACTCTGGGCTTGGGCGCTGTCCTTGTGCTCTTCAGCTCAAGGCGAGCATGCTACCACTTGAGCCACAGCACCACTTCTGGTTTTCTAGCAGTTTATTGGAGATAAGAGTCTCACGAACTTTCCTTCCTGGGCTGGCTTTGAACCTCGATCCTCAGATCTCAGCCTCCTGAATAGCTAGGATTACAGGCGTGAGCCACTGGCTCCTGGCTTATTTTTTCTTCTTGCCACTTGGATTTGATAGAGACATTTGGGAAAAAAAATTGTTCTGAAATGCTTCCTACTTGTATGAAAGAATCTTAGCATTGAGATTGTTTTGGGGAATAAAAGGTTTTCCTTGGTAGCAGAAAACCTATATTGTTAATTTCTTGGGATTCTCCAGATCAGCAATGTTTGTGGTTTTTTTTTTTTTTTTTTATTAAAGCACTTCAATAAAAAACTCAAGTCGTTTTCTATTGCTTTGTTTTACAATATTTAACAACTTTTACGTATCTAAAAAACCCGATATATAGGTTTCATCATAATGTTGTTTGTAAGAGAAAGTAGAAGAGTATATAGACTTCTCCCAGGATACCCTGCAGTCTGCAGTAGTCTGTTACTCTGAAGAACTGTCTGTCTTCTTCACTGGGTGATTGAAATTAAATTGGGGGCTCAAAGCAATCAAGGCAAGCTGAGACTCTACCTTGGTGTTGCCAAATTGCTCCCTTAGGGATACTCACAGATTGGGAATCTCTATGTAGTGACTTCTCCACTTCTGGGGCCTCCTATCAATAATAGCTGAGATTCTCCGCACCTTTTTGTTTAAAATGCTCACAAACTGATTTCCTTGCCACACACAGGGATCGTTTCAGCTTTCCCGAAAGGCAGCAGCCCCTTTTGTGGAAAGTGACAGCTGTTTTACAGCTGCAAAGCAATGCACTGCAAGATGACTTTGTTTTTGTTTCCTTTCACATTAGTGTATCTCCTAGCTATGCAGCTAAATAATAAAGGGAGAGGAAATAAACTTAAGGGTGAAAATGTGACCCAGTAGGAAAATTAAAACCATTCTCAGTTGACATTGAATAGGATGAGTAGATTTTAGCTTTTTGAGTTACAATTTGGCTAAGATATCAAGGGTAGTGATGCAGAAAGATATTTTTGTCACCTATAAATAATTCCTTAGAGTCACTTCTGTAGGATGTTAATAAAAATATATTGTTCCACAGACTATAAAGAGAAGAGGATTATAGTTTGCTACTGCCACTTTGATTACCCTAAGTAAACCTATAGTAGAGGTTTACTTCAGTAGCATTAAGCCTTATCTAGAACAGCTTGCATAAGTTTCTTTACCTGGTCAAATTTTGTTATCTTTTTGATTGTTTTTGGTCTAGGTTCTATTTATAGACCACTTTTATATGCTTCATTCTTTGTGTAATGTGATTTGGGAGAGACATCTGAGAATGTATGTAACAAACAACCTACTACGTGAGCTCAGCATTTATTAGTCATTTAAGGTCTCTGAGCCTTAGTTGTTGGTGTCTGTAATACAGAAGTTAAGTTAATCAAATTCACTAAAAAAAATATGTGAAATGTCGAATTGAGTGTCCAAATCACTTCAAAGGCCCTAGTAAATACTGATTTTCTTTGTAATTATATAGCCTTATTTAAGAAAATAGTTATAAGTCTGAATTTACTGTTATCTCTATGTGCAAAAAGCCTAAACTGGGAAGAATACTAGATTTTGGAATCATTGTTCTGGGATGTGATGAACAACTATCAGACACAAATAAAACAAAAATTCATTCTTTTTTGTTTTGTTTTATTGTGTTCTTTTTGCCAGTTCTGGCACTTGAACTCAGGGCCTGGTCACTGTTTCTGAGCTTTTTTGCTCAAGACTAGTGCTCTAACACATGAGCTCCACTTCTGGCTTTTTGATGGTTAATTGGAGATAAGAATCTCATGGACTTTCCTCCCCAGCTGGCTTTGAACTACAGTCCTCAGATCTCAGCCTCCTGAGTAGCTGGGATTACAGGTGTGAGCATAGTTTTTGTTTTTTTAAATATAAATAAATACCTTATATGTTAGTAAGGGTCAATTTATTCATTGTAAAGTTTTTTTCTATGTTAACTTAAAAATTTTCTGTGAAGTATAGCATATTATTGTTTGCACTTTATAAATGAGCCTCAGAATTTAAGTAATTACCAACAGTTTTACTAGTACATAAGAGATTAAAGCTTTAATTTAGGACTATTGCCCTACCCCTCTTTAACTGTTCTTTTCGTTCTGCTCTAAATTATGTAATGTTGAGGTAGAAAGCAACCCTTTTGAAGTATTAATGGCAGTGTGTGTATTCTTTCACATTTATCAGCTATTTGTATTATGTTTTAAATTCTCAATGTTTCTGTGTATAACATAGTACCAAATATAAGATTTCTGCTCTCAAGTTTACAGTCTGCCTGGAACACAAATATCAGGTGATGAGGGGAAAATAGAAATTGAGAAAATAGAAATTGATATAAACAATGGAGACCATGCTGATCTGTCACAATTAAGGACTTCCTCTTTGTGTACAGTAGAGAATGAGGAGGTTCTTAACTAAGCACCTTCTGGCTATAATACTAGGCATCACCTGAGGAGAACAATGCAGATTGTTCTTTGTTGTATGTGTAGTGGTGAGATGTCCCCATGTAGGTTGTCTGCATGCTTAGCTGTTTCAGCAGTGAGATTGATGTGTTCAAGAGCCTGCTGCCCTCCAACTCTTATTCCAGTGAGTAATATACATAGAAAAGAATAATGGACTGAAGGAATGTGAGAAAATGTGACTGTTTCAGTCTGTTCCTGCTGCTGAAACATATATTTAGCCTAGGTAATTTAGAATTGAGACACTTATTTTTCACGGTCTGGGAAGTCCAAGATAAAGGTGCTAGCACAGTCTTTGTCTGGTAAGGGCCTGCTTTCTACCTCTAAGATAAGGGCAAAAGGTTCCTTCAAACCCCCTTTTTTTTTTTTTGGTTCTGGTCGTGGGGCCTGAACTCTGGGCCTGGGCGCTGTCCCTCAGCTCTTCAGCTCAAGGCTAGCGCTCTACCACTTGAGCCACAGTGCCACTTCCGGCTTTTTTCCTTTTTGCTTATGTGGTGCTGAGGAATCGAACCCAGGGCCTCACGCATGCGAGGCAAGCGCTCTAACACTGAGCCACCTTCCCAGCCCCCTTCAAACTCTTTTATAAGGGCATTAATTCCATTTCTTGTTCTGATCACTTTTTTTATTTGCTGGCTTTGTTTTGTTTCCATACTGGCTCTTGAACTTAAGGCCTCATGGTCTTAGGGCTTTTTCATTCCAGCTGGTGCTCTATGTCTTGAGCCACACTTTCACTTCTGGATTTTTGGTGGTTAATTGGAGATTAGTCTCATGGGCTTTTGTGCCTAGACTGACTTGGAACCTCAATCCTCATATTTCAGCCTCCTGAGTGAGTAATTAGGGTTATAGACATGAGCCATCAGTGCCTGGCCTAATCACTTCATAGTACTACTGCATTGGGAATGTAGGTTTAACAGGAATCTTAGAGGGACACAAACATTTAAATCATACATGAGATCAAGAGTCAGTTCATGGAGTTATGTCTGAAGTGATAAGAGTGCTTACCTAGCAAACTCTAGCCCGTAGTTTAAAACCCCAGTGACAGACAGATACACAGACACAGTCAGGTCTTATTTAAGACAGAACAACTTTTAGAGGGAAAATTAAGAGCTAGACAGACAGACAGACAGACACACACACACACACACACACACACACACAGAGAGAGAGAGAGAGTCAGGTCTTATTTAAGACAGAAAAACTTTTGGGGGGAAAATTAAGAGCTGGGTTCTGATGGGGAATCACACAGATTTTTCTGCCCCTGCTAGCTCAGGTCCTCCAGGTCTCTGAGTAGCTAGGGTTACATACATGAATCACTGATACCTGACTTTTTTTTTTTTTTTTTTGCCTGTTCTGGGGCTTGAACTCAGGGCCTGGGTACTGTCCCTGAGCTTTTTGCTCAAGGCTGGCACTCTCCACTTTGAGCCACAGTGCCACTTCTGGCCTTTTCTGTTTATGTGGTGCCGAGGAATGGAACCCAGGGCTTCATGCATGCTAGGCAAGCACTCTACTACTAAGCCATATTCCCAGGCCACCTGACTCATTTCTGTACTCTTGAACAGAAGTTTTCTACTGTTCTAGTATTTCACATATACAGATGAGTTGAAAGAAATCAATGCTCAGATTAAAAGTACTTATTAGGACCTTACTTTTTTATTGGGAGTCAAAAGCTATGGTCATCTGAATCAACTATTGAATATGTTTCCCTGCTTCTGTCCTGTGGTACTTGAGTATGCTTATTTTTATTAAGTCCATGAGTATCTCTCCATGACTTCCAGATCTCTTCCTGTCAGTGTTTTTGTTTTGTTTTGTTTGTTTGGTTGGTCGTGGGGCCTGGACTCTGGGCCTGGGTGCTGTCCCTTCCTCAGCTCTTCAGCTCAAGGCTAGCACTCTACCACTTGAGCCACGGCGCCACTTCCAGCTTTTTCTGCTTATGTGGTACGGAGGAATCAAACCCCTCATACATGGGCCTCATACATGCAAGGCAAGCACTCTACCACTAGGCCACTTTTCCAGCCCTTTTTCTGTCAGTTTTAATGTTATTCTTTTGATTTTGTTCTTAGTTTAGAAAAAGACTTGTAATAAATTTTGTTGGTCTGGTTGCTTAGCAGCTTGCTATGATTATGTTGCTTGGAACAGATAAATTGCCATTTGAGGATCTTAGTTTCTGGCCCAGAATCAGGTGTATATTGTATCCAAGCTGGAATTGAAGGTTTTTGCTATTACAATTGTCACAAGTACAAATGAATATTTTTGTAGCATTTAATAGAAAATATCTTTGTGTTCATGTATTCCTTTGTCGTTTGTGGTTTTTTTCTTCATTGCTGTTACAACTTATGGTACACTCTTAAAAACATTGCAAAAATCACAAGCCATTCATAATAGAGTTTTGAAATTTTTATTTAAAGGCAAAATAATCACCAGGAGTAGAATGTTGAGCGGTAGATTGAGAAATAGAGGAACAATCCTTTTTATGATATTTCTGAAGACATTTTATTTTCAAGTGAAATTTGAGTTTATTTCATTTCCTTGATAATTTTCATAACATCCCATGAATATCTTATTTTAACTGTTAAATGAAGATCTTATTTCCTCAAGATATTTGCAGTTAAAGTCTATTTGAAATAGAACTGCATTTTTAATGTAATAGCTGTAGGTCTTTGAAGGGAAGCACAAAGCCTGAAATTCACTATACAGAACATACCAATAAATGATTTTTCCTTTGCCCTTCTAACTGTGAAGGTGGTGTATTGTCTCTGATGCCAGAATATGGTACACCATAATCCTTTGCCTGTACTTGGTATAAATTTATTAGACATAGTCTGCAAGCAGTCCAGCACCCTGCATTACAGAAATAATTCTTGTGTTGCTGAGCTGGCAATTTCCCCACTTAATCAGTGATATGATGTCATTTGTGTCATTGGTAGGAAATGTGCTGACCATGTCCTGCTTTTTAGAAGGCAGTTTCAACAGGACATTTGCTAAAAATGAAATTAAAGATAGACACTTTAAGTTACATTGTAGATTTCAAAGTCCACAAGAATTAAAATAGCAGAAGTCTTATACTAATCAGGTTTGACTTGAACCACATTTTGTAGTCACCTTGTAATCAACTGATTGACAGACTCATTCCTAATTGCCTTCTTGTCAGCACCAGGATGATTGTGGGTCGAGGTAGGAAGAGAAATAGGCAGGAGGTGTAGGTATTATCTTCTTGTATTCAAGAGAGCTTTCAACAATCCAACTTTGGTTTTAACTGTTTATTTTTTGTCTTTTCATTTTTGGAACTGGGGATTGAATCCAAGACATTATACTTGTTAGGCAAGTGCTTTACCACTGACCAACACCCTAGCCTCCAACTTGGTTTTTATATTGAGGATCACACAAAACATCAATTGTTGGCTTGAGATTCTTAATGGTAGCTGCAAATGGAAGAGTCCAGATGTTGGTCACTGATGACTCTACGGGTTTGCTACTGCATCTTTTGTCAGAGGGAGAAGGCAGGACCCCTAATGTGTATTTGATTTCTTGGCAGAAAGATGGATACTACAATGCTGAATTTGCGGAATCTGTTTGAGCAGCTTGTGCGCCGGGTGGAAATTCTCAGTGAAGGAAATGAACTTCGTAAGTCATTCTGAGCTGGTCTGTGCAAAAAGAAAAAGCAGACTTCACATTTGGGCTTTCTATAAAACTGAAATATTTCAGTGTTAAAGTTGCTTTTCTTTCGTGTTACCTAAGAAGAATCTGATGGTCACTTACCCATAATCAAAGATTAATGGGAATTCACTTGAGTCATAGCTCTACTTCCCTTTTTTTTTTTTTTTTTTTTTGCTGTGTTTTGTTTTGGAACCTGGGGCTTGAAATTAGGGCTTTTTCCTGCTCAAGGATAATGTTTTACCACTTGAGCCACAGCTCTACTTCCAGATTTTTGATTGTTTTGTTTGTGTTTGGTCCTGGGGCTTGAAATCAGGGCCTAGGTGCTATTCCTGAGCTTCTTTGCTCAAAGCTAGCGTTCTACTACTTGAACCACAGCTCCATTTTTAGCTTTTATTTTGGTAGTTAATTGGAGATAAATATCTTGGGCTTTCCTGCCTGGGCTGGCTTAAAACCATGATCCTCAGATCTTAGCCTCCTGAGTAGCTAGGATTAAACAGGCATGAGGGGCACCCAGCTAGTTGTCTTTATTCTTTATCCCAGACTTTTTGGTGTTCTATAAAACAAATGAAGAGGGAAAAATAGTCTTTTTTTTTTTTTTTCAAAAAAAGGACTAGGCATGTACTTTCACCAACTTTTGTACATTAGATGCATGAGTAAATAATAAAAGGGATAGAGTGGAGGGTTGGGGAGGAAAAGGAACGATCTGGAAAATAAATTGGAAAGGAAAGTGGGACTGATAGCCTTGATGTATATGATCTAAACGAATTATTCTATGCCAGCTTCTCTTTGTGTTGCTGTTTCTCTTCTATTTCAGATTTTCAGTAATAACCAATTTAGCATGTGTTGCTCTCAAATCAGCCTTACTGGCATAAAAGTAATGATTCTGAAAAGTAATGTCCTGAGCTTTTCTTTACCTTCATAGTATTTAGTATGGCATCTTGCTTATACCATTCAGTATTTTCTTTAAATTGATTGATGCTTTTAATAGCTCTTATCCACTTACAGGCCTTTCAGAACAATATTCTATTTTCTCTCTCTAATAGCTGCTGCATGACCCTGTCATCTGGTACTAGCTCAGTAACCACAATGGCATACTAATCAGGCTTCTCTTTGAGGTCACATCATCTCAGAAAATGGATTACTTTGGAGTCTAGTGGGAAAGATAGGGAATAAAAAATCTTAAAACACAGGTTCATTTAACAAATACTTTGTGAGGGCCTATCAAAGCTTCTAGTACATGTTGAGTTTGAGGGAAAGAGACAACTAAATGGCTTCTGGAAAGAAAATAAGCTTTGAGTTGAATCTTAGATATAGGGTCAGATCTTAATAGGCAGGGATGAAAGAGGGCATTTTAGGTCAAGCAACAGCTTGAGTGGAGGGAAGAGGGGATCCAGTGAGGGGGAGGGGATGGTTAGCGCTCTGCTTTGGGAAGATTACCTCACAGAGGTGAAGGTTGCAGTAGAGTTGGAGACTAGGATTCTGACTAGGAAGGAGGTGGTTGCCATAGCTTATGAAAAAAGAAGAGGAATCCCATTCCTCAGTAGAATGGGTGCTTGTGAGTTGGTAACATGGGCCAAATGTTAGAAGAGATTGTAATGATAAGACCTCTAGGAGTTTAAGATAGGGATGTGGAACCCAAGGTAAGAATCCAAGGTTTAGAATCCTAATAAGTAGTGCTGGCTTTTAACTTGTTTCTCTCTGTTTCTCCATCTGTGAAAAAGGAATTTAAGCATTTTTCTCTTTTGCGTGACTGCTGTGAGGATTTGGGGATATATTGAGGTACTAGTTGTGGAAATACTTTGGGAAGTAATGCTGCAAAAACAAACAAAACCCCTAAATAACAATCCCCCCAAAAGAAAAAATAGTAAGACATCTAATTTCCTATTGATTTCAATAACCCCTGTCCCTCTCAGCCCACCCCTCTCCCCCCCCTCCATAAGACATGTAGTTTCCTATTGATTTTTGTTTTGCGATAGAGATTTTTTTTTGGTGGGGGGGGTCTGGTCGAGGGGCCTGAACTCTGGGCCTGGGTGCTGTCCCTTAGCTCTTCAGCTCAAGGCTAGCATTCTACCACTTGAGCCACAGCGCCTCTTCCGGCTTTTTTCTTTTTGCTTATGTGATGCTGAGGAATCGAACCCAGGGCCTCATGCATGCAAGGCAAGTGCTCTACCACTGAGCCACCTTCCCAGCCCGCGATAGAGATTTTTGTCCCACCAGTTTTCTGGTGGTTAATGGGAGATAAGAGTCTCACGGACTTTCCTTGCTGCTTTGAACCGGGATTCTCAGATCTCGGCCTCCTGAGTAGCTAGGATTACAGGTGTGAGCCACCAGTGTCCAGCTTAGTTTTAAGTTTTTAAGTCTAAGGTTAATGGAAGAGAAGAATGAAAGTAGCTAAATAAAATTACTTTAATTAGCCGGGCACCGGTGGCTCACGCCTGTAATTCTAGCTACTAAGGAGGCTAAGATCTTAGGATCCCGGTTCAAAGCCAGCCCGGGCAGGAAACTCCCTGAAACTTTTTGTTTTTTTTTTTTTTGGGGGGGGGTCCAGTCATGGGGCCTGAACTCTGGGCCTGGGCGCTGTCCCTCAGCTCTTCAGCTCAAGGCTAGCACTCTACCACTTGAGCCATAGAGCCACTTCCAGCTTTTTTTCTTTTTGCTTATGTGGTGCTGAGGAATCGAACCCAGGGCCTCATGCATGCAAGGCAAGCGCTCTACCACTGAGCCACCTTCCCAGCCCCACTCCCTGAAACTTTTATCTCCAATAAAAATCACCAGAAAGGGCTAGGAAAGTGCCTCAGTGGTAGAGCGCTTGCCTTGCATGCCTGAGGCCCTGGGTTCGATTCCTCAGCACCACATAAGCAAAAAGGAAAAAAAAAAAATCACCAGAAAACCGGAAGTGGCACTGTAGCTCAAGTGGTAGAGTGCTAGCCTTGAGCTGAAATGTTGAGGGACAGTGCTCAGGCCTAGAGTTCAAGCCCCACGACCGACCAAAAACCCCCCAAAAAACAGTAAAATTACTTTAATTAATAGCTAAGTATTTTGTTAGTTTTCCCCAGTTTATATTTTTAATATTCTATTTTTTTGTAAGAAGCTGTCTGAACTTTTTAAAATATTGATGTATGAATTAGGAATAAGCATTACTATTTAGCAAGTGTCTGTTGTGTATCTGTGACATATTAGGTTTGTGCTACACTTTGTACCTTACTACCTAAGAATCTGCGTTATGTGAATATGACCTAGTTTCATCTCTAAACTGGGTTAATGTGACCAGTATCAGATATGCACATTGGACTGTTCCTTCATTATGGTAGAGAGTATGAATGGTGCTTAGAGGTAGACTGAGGTTAACTAGAAAATTGTAAGGCACTTTTGCAAGTATATTATAGAACAGTCTTCCCCAATAGCAGGCGATAAGAATGAATGCCACCAATGTTTTGAGGTACTGCCTTGGAAGTGACACCATCCTTGCAGATGTTTGAAGAGTCCACGTTCTTCTCTCAGTGACTTTCCAAGAGCTCCTGTGATCTCTCCTGCTTTTCCAAGTGGAATGTTTACATACCCTTCAGGGCAGTGTTAAACAGCAAAAGCAAATTGGCTCTTTACTTTCAAATCAATATTTGTATAATTATATAGCTGAATGGAACTGCAGGTCTAGACATCTGTAATATTAATCTACATCTACTGGAGCATATTACAGCAGTTACATTTGAATTTGCTGCTTAACATCTCTGGTGCAGCAATGTGTGACTGTAAAGGAGACTGTTTTTTGTTTTATAGCTGTAACTGTCCTGGTGCGTGACCGCTGCCCCAAAGGTATCCCCCTTTGATTGCCTTCTGTTCAGGAGCTTTCAGTGTTAGTGTTACATCTGGAGCCAGGTGACTAATGAGTTACATATTCCATAGCAGATGCCACTGGCTAAGCTAGAAATATGTGGCCTATTGAATCAGGAATTGCTCTCCACAAAGCTGTTGTCTAGAGTGACAGATATATCCAGTATCTGCTTCTGGTTATTTTCAGTTGGGCTTGCCCATAGTTGAGCTGGTCCCTTAACTATGTGTTGGAGCCATTTATTTGAGGATTTATACCCTGTTTGATATTTGAATTATTAAAATTTTCACCTTTCCTTAGAATTCATCCAGCTGGCAAAAGATTTTGAGGATTTCCGTAAGAAGTGGCAGAGAACAGACCACGAGCTGGGGAAATACAAGGATCTTTTGATGAAAGCAGAATCTGAGCGTAGTGCTTTAGATGTTAAGCTGAAGCATGCACGTAATCAAGTGGAGCTAGAGATCAAACGGAGACAAAGAGCTGAGGCCGACTGTGAGAAGCTGGTGTGTATTTTTTATATGTAAGAACAATGGTTATATAATCAAAAACATTTAATAATATACAATAATATATACCCAGTTTTTCTTCCTCTTTAAAGAACTGTAAACAACTTGTCCTTTGACATCCTGCCCATGATTAGAGTTCAAACTGTCACTTATGACTCCCCTTCATAGTTAGAAATTAAAATGTTGCCAGGCACTGGGGCTGAAACCTGTAATCCTAGCTACTCAGGAGGTTGAGATCTGAGGGTCTGGGCTCAATGCCAGCTTGGGCAGGAAAGTCTATAAGACTCCTATCTCCAGGGCTGGGAAGGTGGCTCAGTGGTAGAGCGCTTTCCTTGCATGCATGAGGCCCTGAGTTCGATTCCTCAGCACCACATAAGTAAAAAGAAAAAAGCCGGAAGTGGTGCTTTGGCTCAAGCGGTAGAGCGCTAGCCTTGAGCTGAAGAGCTAAGGGACAGCGCCCAGGCCCAGAGTTCAGGCCCCACGACCGGACAAAAAAAAAACAAAAAAAACTCCTATGTCCAATTAATCACCAGAAAACCAGAAACGGCACTGTGACTCAAATGGTAGAGCACTGAAGAGTGCAGGGAAAGTGACCAAGCCCAGAATTCATGCACCACCACTGACCAAAAAAAGAAATTAAAATGCTACTCAGAGTAACTTTATCTATATACAAGTAGCTGCTCCTACACATTGATAGAAACAAGGCAGTTCTACCTGTCCTGTCATCATCTATTTCAGGGTAAAGAGCTAGATATACTCAACCAGTCGAGTAACGTGACTGACTTGTAGCAGTATCATTTTGATGTGCCAGTGCTGGCCAGAAATCCTTTACTAGGAGGGGCTAATCCATCTTAGTTCAGTGTTAGATGCCTCAGTAAGTTCAAATTGTTGGATTCTTTTGTATTACAGCTTTGTATCTGTTTTAATGTGTTTTGTTCTACTATTTACAAAGGTTGGTGACTGCTTTGATCTGTGAAAGGAGCTAATAATTGACTTGATAAAATACAATAAAGTATTTTTGCTATGTGAAATCTATTTTGGAACTTGAATTTTACATTACTCTCTTCTTGGATTAGCAGTTTGATCTAAAAGTCTTGTAGCAGAACCCTGCTATTCTAGCTACAGTTCATTTTACCAGTCAGAAATCAGAGCTACAATCTGTGAATTAATATGCTGTTGGTGTAGCTGCTTTCCTGAAGTCCCATTTGCATAATGCTGTATTTTAATGTCTTCTGCCTGTCCCATAAATTTGAGGTGAAGTTTTCTCCCCTGGCTAGTTATGATGTTTTACTCTGCTTTGGTCTGAAGGAACGACAAATTCAGCTGATTCGAGAGATGCTCATGTGTGACACATCTGGCAGCATTCAACTAAGTGAGGAGCAAAAATCAGCTCTGGCTTTTCTCAATAAAGGCCAACCATCCAGCGGCAATGCTGGCAACAAAAGGTGGGGGAACTGCATCTGTTGTTATCTGATCATGAGCAACACAGCTGTCAGAAGTTCCTGTTATCTGAACTCTTCAATATACTGCTTCTATAGTGTGTGCTGAAGAAAGCAGAAAAAGACTTTGGGGGAAGGGTATTGAGGAGCTAAGGCCAGGGGCCTCCCTATTTTTTTTTTCTTCTTTCTTTTATTATTATTATTTTATCTATTTATTTGTGCCTTTCCTTAAGCCCAGGGCCTGAGTTCAGTCTCTGAGCTGCTTTTTTTCCTCCCCTCGTATTGGCTAGTATTGGAGCCACAGCTTTACTTCCAGCTTTTTTTTTTTTTTTTTTTTTAAGCAGTTAATTGGAGATAAAAGTCTCAAGGTGTTTCCTGCCCAGGCTGGCTGGCTTCAGTGATTCTCAGATTTCAGCCTCCTGAGTAGTAGGATTACAGGCCTGAGACACTGGCTTCCAGCATTCTTTCCTTATTTTTTTATAAATCTCTCCTTAGAATGTTGTTTCACCATGGGTAAAATTTTCATGTTGATGCTAAATTGCACATCAATAACTAATCCTGTACATTGCTAAGAAACCTAAAGGCGAAAGTGACAGTTCAGCAATAATTTCAGTGCTTGCTCTCCAGAGAGCTCTTGTAGTTTTCTGGTTTAGAAAGGCTATTCTGAGCCAAGACTAGACAATAATTTTGGTTCCATACTATCACTATTTAAAATAGTCTTAGCTAGGCTCTGACTTTAATACTCCCAGTACAATAAGTAGGGAAAGGTCAGCACTCTTACAGCTATTTGTTTTGTTGCTGATTGTTTTATGGGGTATCTTTATAACTAAGAAGATGTACAGCCTTAATTTCTTGCCAAAGCTGGGTTATACTCCCTTGCAGAAAGCAGCCACAGTTGGGATCAAATTAAAGCTCACTCTTCTACCTTGTGAATTTTTAGTAGCCTGTAGTACAGAATTAGTAGGGAGTAACACCTATAGCCCTAGCAGTAACTTTGAGTTGCTGTTACAAGCCCTTAGTTGAAAAAGAACTGTGCTGCACCTGTACTTATCATATACTTCTCATAAAAAGCAGCCCACCATAGTTATGTTTGAACTTGAAGTTGTTACCATAGAAAAGATATTGCTATGATCTTGCTCATGTTACCTGATCAGTGGGATTGTTGAGGAATTTTGGTGGCCTTTATATTTCATAGTTTTGTGTCTAACGCTGTATTTTGTCCATTTAGACTATCAACCATTGATGAATCTGGTTCCATTTTATCAGATATCAGCTTTGACAAGACTGATGAATCACTGGTAATAAACATTTGGTCTTTGAGACTTATCTGTTAGCCCTGTTCTCTCCTCTCCCTTTACTGTTGTTTTATTTGTTGATATGTTATAGAGTCTAAGCTAGCAATTTAAAATGTGAATCCACACAGCTGTAAGATACTGGCTTATCTATTTATTTTGTTTCTGGATGTGAGGATGAAGAATTCTGAATTTAGCATGAGGTTAAGTTTACTGAAAGGATGTCTGAGCTGCATGTACTAATTGATTTTATATATTGACTTATTAAATCCACAGCTAGCCATAAAAAAATTAGCAAGGCTAGGGCTGGGAAGGTGGCTCAGTGGTAGAGTGCTTGCCTTGCATGCTCAAGGCCCTGGGTTCGATTCCTCAGCACCACATATGCAAAAATGAAAAAACCGGAAGTGATGCTGTGGCTCAGGTGGTAGAGCACTAGCCTTGAGCTGAAGAGCTGAGGGACAGCGCCCAGGCTCAGAGTTCAGGCCCCACGACCGGACCAAAAAAAAAAATTAGCAAGGCTATATGCAGGCAAAGCTTATTTGATGCTCTTGGGGTGAATAGACTTGTGCCTTACTTCTGTATCAGTTTGGATCTTGAGGAAATCTTACCTATACTTTACAATTACAAGGAAACTAAGGGTCCAGGATTTCAATCAGAAGAATGTGATGAGAATTTTTAGGCTATGAATAATGCTTTGATTAATGACAATTCACATGGCCAAACTCTTTGTTACCTTACTTTTCTGGAGTAGCACCTTCTCATCTCATGGTATTTCTTCATAAAGTTATCCTTCATAAATTTAGTCTTTGAATCAGGAGACTGATATTTATTTATTGTATATTTATTTATTTATTCATTTTGTTGGTGGTGGGGTTTGAACTGTGGGCCTGGGTGCTATACCCGAGCTCTTCAGTTTAGGAGAATAATACTTGAGCCACAGCACCATTTTTGGTTTCCTAGTGGTTATTTGGAGATAAGAGTCTCACGGACTTTCCTGCCTGGGTTGGCTTTGAACCATGATCCTCAGATCTCAACCTCCTGAGTAGCTAGGATTACAGGTGTGAGCCACCAGCACCCGGCGAGACATATTTATTGATTTGTGTTTTCTGTTGCTAGCTGCTCCTAGCAAATAAAATAATAAATTATAGGAAGTTAATGGTGGCTATTTTTCTGACATAGTGAAACAAATAACAATTACTTTTTTGCCCCAAATTTAATGTTTACTAGGGGGATATATGGCCATTTTAGTCAACTCTTTTTGGAAATAAGAAATACAGAGTAGGTCTGGGTTAAACAAGTCTACACAGGAGGCTAAGATCCAAAAGATTACAATTGGAAGTCAGTCCAGATAGAAAGGTGTATAAGATGCTATCTCCAAAAACCAGCAAAATACCAGGCTTGAGGCATAGCTCAAATGGTAGAGCTTCAGCCAAGGAAGGTCAGGGCTCTGCATTCAAACTCTAATACTAGAAGAAAAAAAAAAATCATCAGCTGATTTTAAGGTAGACATATGCTATGATAACCTTTCTCCTAAAACTGAATCAACTAATATCTAAACTAGCTGAAGGAAATTATTTGGTTGAGCTACTATTTTCTATATGCAATTATTTCTAGATACTATGTTCCTGTTCAGGGACAGTCAGGAATTAATCACAGGTACATACTAAAATGAATGCAGATAGTGAATTGAAATTAAGCCATAAAAAGACAAAATATTTTCTGGAAGTTAACCTTTTTTTTAGGATCCAAAGAAAAGGAATGATCAAAAGACATAAACCTAAACTTAAACTTTTGAAGTGTTGTACAGAAGATCTGGTAGACAGCAGCAATCCCTCAAGGGCAAGAATTACACTTGACATGACCAGTGTAGTACCTAACAGTCTGTAGGTTCTAAAACTAATTACAAAAATAATCAAAAATAAAGGACCAGACACCAGAAATAATCACGATAGAAGTTGATTCTTTAACCTTTTCTTGTCTCTGTGGTATTGATTCCTGATTCTATTATAATAGCTTCAATTTTTAAAAGAAAACCGGTTAACTTTTACTATTTCTCTACAGCTACAATATTGGAGGCTTTCTCATTATCCCTGTCCTCAAATAGTTTCGGTAGCTTGGCTACCAAAGGATTTCAAGTTTGTTTGCATAGTATTGACAGGAGACCTAACTAAAGAAAGAAATTAATATACTGTAATTGTCAACAGGACTGGGATTCTTCCATGGTGAGGAATTTTAAATTGAAGAAAAGAGAAAAGAGGGTATGTATGGTTTGTTTTGCTTTTGTATAAAGAAACAACAGGAGTTTGTTTACTTTGTGTGATGTCCTACACCTGCAATCCTATTTCTATGCAATCAGGATTCTTAGGATCATGAGTTTGGGACCAGCCTGGCCTATATAGCAAAACTCAAGCAGAAAAAGAATTTTCCTTTTTGCTTTTTAGTGATCCTGGGATTTGAACTCTGGAGTCTTGTGCGAGGCAAGCATTCTATCATTTGAGCCATGCCCGCAGCCTACAGAGTTTTCTTTAGAAAATTTAGCAAGCTAGACTACTCCTGATATGTTACTCTAGCCATTGTTAAACTCATATTACAAACAAATTCATACTGTAGAGCTATATTGATATTCTTTGAGATAGTGACTTAAGACAGAATTCTGTCCTATTTCATAAAGGTCCTGGCTGCATCTTAATTTATTTATGCTCTAGAAAAGGATATGCTTAAGTTTGTTGTGAATTGTCATATAAATTTTTATGCTCTAATACAAGGTTCAGATAAAAATGTGTGAATAATGGGATACAGAGACCTGTTTGTGTGTATTTGTTTAGGATATTTGATATGTTTCCAAAGACTTCATGTCCTAGAATAGGATTACAGTTCCACTTTTCTGGTGCTGTCATCTAAATTTCTCCAAAGCTTGTTCCTTTTTCTACGGCGCTGAGAACATTTTTGTGTTCGTATAACTCATTTTTCATGTGGAAATGGGCAATAAAAGAAAGCACATTGTTATTTACTGTAGCCCTGGTCCTTAGGGCTTACATCCAGTTGTCTGATAGAATAATTTTATCTTCTGTGCTTCAGATCTACTTGATACTAAAGATTTTGGTCCTTGTCCCCTCCCCCCTCCAGCGCTCTAGTAGCCGACAGTTTGTTGATGGACCCCCTGGGCCTATAAAGAAAACTCGTTCCATTGGCTCCACAGTAGACCAGGTAATGAGTCAGGTCAAGAGAACTGGGATCTTGAACACATAAGAGCAGTGAAATGTCTGTGTCAACATTATAGCGTTAGTTTGAGAAGATGTAATATTGGAGTTTTTCTGTGTAATATGGTCGTTATCATTCATATGATTGGAATTACTGTGGTTAAGTAAACAGCTGTAAATTTGATTCTTTTTTGTTTGTATATATTCCACTTTTTCATACATGTATTTTTTAAAGTCAGAGATTTCAACTTAAAAATATTTTGTGTTAGTGCTACAATCTGGATTAAGGCTCAGCAATTTTTACCTAATCCCAAATTACCTTATAGTAGTGGGAAAGTTAGGCTCTTTGTGTTCTTACAATCACTTTTGTTTCAGGGGAATGAATCCATAGTTGCAAAAACTACAGTGACTGTTCCCAATGATGGTGGGCCCATTGAAGCTGTGTCCACTATTGAGACAGTGCCTTACTGGACCAGGAGTCGAAGGAAAACAGGTCTGTTGAATCTGACTAAACAGTTTGTGTAGGTCCTGTAATACCCGTACCTGGGAGGCTGAGGTAGGAAGATTGTGAGTTTGAGTCCTTTTGGTCTCATAGACACAGTTCATTCACAGTGAATGAATACAATAATGAATTCATGACTAAAGGTGTGAGTGAATTTCTAGTCTAGACTAGAAAATTTTCTAGACTAGAAAATTTAGTAGAGTTGGTTTTTTTAGAATCCTCTTGAGAGTCAGGGACAGTTAAAATGGGTAATTTCTAGAGGGCTAGAGGACTAGTCGATTGTACATGCTTTACTTTCTTGGATTGAGAGCATGGATAACTGTTTTTTCTTAAAAGTGTCCTCCCCCTCCCCCGCAAATAGTTGTTGGTATTCATTTATGAGTTATGGTTACAAATTACTGTTTTATCAGTTACTTAAATAATGGGGCTGAAATTTAAAAGGAACAAAATACTTAAGACAAAGCTTAAATTTGATTGTTTTCTAGGTACTTTACAAACTTGGAACAGTGATTCTACCCTTAGCAGCAGGCCACTGGAGCCAAGAACTGAGACAGACAGTTTGGGCACGCCACAAACAAATGGAGGAATGCGCCTACATGACTTTGTCTCTAAGACGGTAAATGCACGATTGATTCATTTCCTTTCAAGCACTTTTTTTTTTAAACTCATGGCTTCAGGCTAGCTAGGCAGACATTCTACTGAGTCTTCTAGCCCTTTTTGATACTTTTTTGTTACCCATCCTGAGGTTGAAATCAGAGCCTGGGCACTGAGCTTTTGAGCTTTTTTCCCCTCAAGGTTAGTACTCTGCCACTTGAGCCATAGCTCCATTGTCTGGCTTTTGGAGAGATAAGAGTCTCACAGACTTTCTTGCCCAGTCTGGCTTCAAACTATGATCTGCATATCTCAGCCTCCTGAGCAGCTAGATGTGAACCACCATCACCCGGCAGGCACTAGTTATTTTTGAGATAGTCTCAGTTCCTGCTCAGGTGTGTATTTTAGACTTCCTTTTGAAGCTATGATGACAGACATATGCCACCATGCTCAGCCTCTTTTGTTGAGATGGAGTTTCATGGGCTTTTCTGCCTGGGATGACCTCAAACAGTGATTATTCCAGTCTTATCCACCCAGGTAGCTAGGATGAAAAGTGTGAGACATGGGTGCCCAGATATTTATTTATGAGACAAGATCTTGTTGCATAGGCTGGTGGTCCTCACACTTTGTCATACTCCCTCAGTACCGAGTACTGAGATTATAAGCCTGTGCCTTTACTAATTAAAGAAAATAGTCTACTTTATGGAATTTGGGGTAAGATTATGTCTTTTCTGTTTTTCTTTTTTCTTTTGTATCAGTCAGGGCCTGGGATCTGCCCCTGAGCTTTTTTGTTAAAGGCTAGTGCTCTACCATTTGAGCCATAGCTCCACTTCTAGCTTTTGGTAGTTAATTGGAGATAAGAGTCTCATGGAGGGGCTGGGAAGGTGGCTCAGTGGTAGAGCGCTTGCCTTGCATGCACGAGGCCCTGGGTTTGATTCCTCAGAACCACATAAGCAGGAAAAAAAGCCAGAAGTGGTGCTATGGCTCAAGTGGTAGCATGCTAGCGTTGAGCTGAAGAGCTGAGGGACAGCGCCCAGGCCCAGAGTTTAGGCCCCAAGACCGGACCCAAAAAAAAAAAAAAAGAGTCTCATGGACTTTTTTTTTTTTGCCTGGGTTAAGTTTAAACTGTGATTCTCAGATCTCAGCCTTCTGAATAGGATTACAGGTTGGAGCTGCCAGTGCTTGGCTTTTTGTTTTTTTAAGAGTTACATTTAAAAATTATATAATGTGTATATATATACATATATATATAAAAAAAAAATATATATATATACAATTTTGTTGTTATTAAGGTATTATATAGAAGGATTATTTCATAAATCAGGTAATGAGTACATTTCTGTTTTGGACAGTGTTACCTCCTCCTTCACTTTCCCCAACTCCCCCTCCTGTCCCTGCCCACAAGTCGCATAGTTCATTTTCCACATTCAGTGTCTACTGAATACCTTTTTTTTTTTTTGAGAGTTATATTTTAAAAAGCATATAAAGGTCTTAGAAAGTTGAGACATACCAAGTCCTCAATATATGTTGGCAATTTTGTAATTCATTTACTCTGTTCTTTCTGTCCTGTTTTATCTTCAGGTTATTAAACCTGAATCCTGTGTTCCATGTGGAAAGCGGATAAAATTTGGCAAACTGTCTCTGAAGTGTCGAGATTGTCGAGTGGTTTCTCATCCAGAATGTCGAGATCGCTGTCCTCTTCCCTGCATCCCTACCCTTATAGGAACACCTGTCAAGATCGGAGAGGTGGGATTTGTGGACTCTATTGTTGTGTGGCTTCTTTTACCTTTTAGAGACTTAATGTCAGCTTTTATTGTAAAATTATTGATGCCAGATATATTTCTATGCATGAAAAATAGAAATAGCAAAATGTTAACCTGTAGCAATCTTGTTGGGGTTTGTATGTTTAATGATCTTTCTAAACCAAACTCTTCCCTCTGTTTTCTTTTTTTTTTTTTTTTTTGTTGTAGAGCTTGAACTCTGGGCCTAGGTGCTGTCCCTTACCTCTTCAGCTCAAGGCTAGTGCTCTACCACTTGAGCCACAGTGCTACTCCTGGTTTCTGGTGGTTATTTGAAGATAAGAGTCTCATGGACTTCCTGGGCTGGCTTTGAACCGTGGCACTCAGATCTCAGCCTCCTGAGTAGCTAGGATTACAGGCATGAGCGAAGTTAACACTGGGTTCTTTTTTTTTTTTTGAGGATCATGGGGCTTGAACTCAGGATCTGGGTAGTATCCCTGAGCTCTTTCACTTAAGGCTAGTGCTCCACCACTTTGAGCCACAGTGCCACTTCTGATTTGCTGGTTGTTAATTGGAGATAAGAAACCCATGGATTTTGTTGCCTGGGCTGGCCTCCCCCTAAGTAGCTAGGATTATAGGTATGAGCCACTGGCACCTGGAAACCCTGAGTTTTTGTTTTTTTTTTTTGGTCGGTCGTGGGGTTTGAACTGTGGTCCTAGGCACTGTCCCTGAGTTCTTCAGCTCAAGGTGAGCACTCTACCACTTGAGCCACAGCACCACTTCTGGCATTTTCTGCTTATGTGATGCTGAGGAATCGAACCTAGGGCCTCATGCATGCAAAGCAAGCACTTTACCACTGAGTCACCTTCCCAGCCCTCTCAGGCCAATTCTTGAGTTATTCATTTTCATCTGTGAATATTCATGTTAGAGATAGTTCATAACAAGATATTTCATACCAGGCTTAAGTTACTGGGCTGGAGGTGCAATTCAAGTGATAAGGGTACCAGATTAGCACTCAAAAGCCCATAGTTTATATCCTAGCACCACATAATTAATTACAAAAAGAAAAAGGATGGTTGCTGGGTGCCAGTGGCTTATGCCTATAATCCAAGATATCTAGATGCTAAAATCTGGAGGATTACAGTTTGAAGCCAGCCCAGGCAGAAAAGTCTTTGAGAGTCCCTCTCCAAAATAACTAGTTAAGAACATGCCTTCAGTATGGCTCACACGGTAGAATTCCAGCAAGCAAACCAAGTGTAAGGCCCTGAGTTCCAATTCTGGTAGTGGCAAAAAAAAAATTACCTAGAAAATATTGATTATATAAGCAACATTAACAAGCATTAAAATAAATTGATTGTGCTGTTACCCTCAACAAATCAAATGTTATTATTTTAGCAGTATTTGAGTATGAACTTAGGACCTTGCATGCACTAGTCAGGTACTCCCTATTTGTGCCACATCCTCAGCCCTAGTCTCCTAGTCCTCGATTTTTATCAAAGCATACAAGTTTTTTTTCTTTTAGTTTCTTTAGTGGAACTATGGATGTTGGGCTGTGGTGGCTCACACCTTTAATCCTAGCTACTCAGCTGAGCTCTAAAGATTGCAGTTTGAAGCCAGCCTGGGCAGGAACATGCATGAGACTCTTATTTCCAATAAACTACTCAGAAAAAAAGCCAGAAGTGGCATTGTGGCTCAAGTGGTAGAGTGCTAGCCTTTAGCAAAAGAACCTCAGGGACAGCATCCAGGCTCTGAGTTCAAGCCCCAGGACCAGCACATGTGTGTGTGTATATACACACACACACACAAATGAGGTATATTAAGTAATTTGTTTTTAGCTGAGAATAAAGTACAAAAGGATTCATTTTTAATATTTTTGGTGATTGAGGTAGTCTTTCTCTGATAGCCTAGGTTGGTCTCCATCTGATCCTTTTGCTCCTGCTTCCCCGAGTGTTGGGATTCCAAGGCATGTGCACAGGAAAGATCTTATTTTTGGGTAGTAAATTAGCTAATATTAAAGGCCATATCTGTAATCTCTATTGCTTGCTTTCTGCTGTATCTGGTGGTCTTAGTCCTTGTTCCTGCAAAATGTAATCATAAATCACATTTTGCAGCTAAGAATCTTGTTTTGTTTCATTTCAAGGCACTGATAATTAAACCAAGGCTTGGGAATGCTAGGTAAGCGTTCTACCAAGCCAACATTCCTAGCCTAAGATCTCAGTTTTAATAGATGCTTTGAAAAATAGGCATTTAAAAGTATTAGTATTAGCTCACAGATGTACATGGCCTTCTGTTGCTCTTAATAGTGTAAATAATAATTCAAAGTTCTCTTTTTCAGGGAATGTTGGCTGATTTTGTGTCCCAGACATCTCCAATGATCCCTTCCATTGTTGTCCACTGTGTAAATGAGATTGAACAGAGAGGGCTGACTGAGGTAAGAATCAACCCTGGAGAAGAGTAAATTTGCTTATTTGTGTTGTTTATATTTAAGAATTTCTTAAAAGTTTCATTTCGATAATAGACAGGCTTGTATAGGATCTCAGGGTGTGACCGAACAGTAAAAGAGCTGAAAGAGAAATTTCTCAGAGTGAAAACAGTACCTCTCCTCAGCAAAGTGGATGATATCCATGCCATCTGCAGCCTTCTAAAAGACTTCCTTCGAAACCTCAAAGAACCCCTTCTGACCTTTCGACTAAACAAAGCCTTTATGGAAGCAGCAGGTAAGAGCAGATCTTAGTACTGCAATGTGAGTTCTGCCAGGCCTGGAACTTTTTTACACTTTTCACTGCTTTATCTGTTGCTTAGTACAGAGCCTCAAACAGTAAGTAGGTGCCTTAACCATTAATTTGGTGGATGAGTCACTGCATACATGCCTGCTCTTTTACTTTTTAAACTGTTTGGGTTATTCAGTGTTTTTGTTGTTGCTTTTGTTTTTTTGGTCAAGTTTTAGGTTGTCCTTTTGAAGTTAGAATTATCTTTGATTCCTTTTCTTTCCACTCCAAATCTTGTCAGCAGCTTTGTAAAATATATCTTAAAGTTGGTATTTGTCAAGAATGGTAGTTAAAGAATGACTGCCTTTCATGATGTACTCTTTCTCTAGGATGTGGTAAGAACCTGCCAACAGATTGTCCTGTTTCTACTCATGCTTTCTGCAGTATGAACTTCATACAGAAACTAAAGTGGCCCACCCTTTTTTTTTTTATGATCAAGATGTGTTTATTAGTCATAGAAAGTACAAGCAAATGGTGTTCATCAGAGTGGTCCTTTTCAAATTTAAGAGATAATGTTCTGCCAGGTGCTGGTGGCTCTCCCCTATAATCCTGGCTACTCAGGAGGCTGGCTAAGATCTGAGGATCACAGTTCAAAGCCATCCCGGGCAGTAAAGTCCGTGAGACTCCAATTAACCATCAAAAAACCAGAAGTGGTGCTGTAGCTCAAGTGGTAGAGTGCTTGCCTTGAGCTGAAGAGCACAGGGACAGCACCCAGGCCCATTGTCAAGCCCCACAACCAACCAAAAAAAAAAGATGATGTTCCTGTGGCCTCAGTACCCTGCAGTGACTTGCCATCACTTTCAGAATGAAATAGTTTTTTTTTTGTTGGTCATGGGGCTTGAACTCTGAGCCTGGGCGGTGTCCCTGAGCTCTTCAGCTCAAGGCCAGCGCTCTACCACTTGAGCCCTAGCACCATTCCTGGTTTTCTGGTGGTTAATTGGAGATAAGAGTCTCACAGACTTTCCTTACCCAGGCTGGCTTTGAACCATGATCCTCAGATCTTAGCCTCGAATAGCTAGGATTGTAGGCATGAGCCACCAGTGCCTGGCCTGAAATCCAGTTTTTAACATGGCTCAAAGACCCTCTGTGATTTGGCTCCTGGTTACATCTCCAGTGCCATTTTGTTCTGCTCTTAATCTTTTTTTGGGGGGGTCCGGTCGTGGGGCCTGAACTCTGGGCCTGGGTGCTGTCCCTCAGCTCTTCAGCTCAAGGCTAGCGCTCTACCACTGGAGCCACAGCACCACTTGCAGCTTTTTTCTTTTTGCTTATGTGGTGCTGAGGAATCGAACCCAGGGCCTCATGCATGCAAGGCAAGCGCTTTACCACTGAGCCACCTTCCCAGCCCCTCAGCGCTTAATCTTGTTACCCTGGAATTCTTGCATTTCTTAGAACATACCCATTTTACTCCCTGCATCGAGTCCTTAATATTTGCTGTTGTCCCATCCTCAAATGTTTTCATCTAGATACTTGTTTTGTTCCTTTATTTCTTTCATTTTTCTCTTTGGTTAACTTGTCTTCACAGGAAAGGTATTTTCTACTTTCTTGCTTCTTTACCACCATATTTTCTCTTCTTTTTTTTTTTTTTTTGGCAGTACTTAGGTTTGAACTCAGAGCCCCATGCTTGCATAGTGGTGCTCTCCCAGTTGAGCCATGCTTTCTGTCTTGGCCTTTTGCTGGTTATTTTGGAGTCTAGTGAACTTTTTTTTCCCAGGCAGGCCTGAAACCACAATCCTCGAGATCTTTGCCTCCTAAGTAGTTAGGGTTATAGGAAAGAGCTTCCAGCACCTGGTTCCATATTTTCTTTATATATACTGCCTGATAGGTATTTGCTTTTAGACTAAATCCTAATAGAATATATGTTCTATTTATTGTTACCAACAATACTTAGAATAGTATCTGGTACATAGTATGCCTTTAAAATGTCTTATGAGTGAACACTTCATGCTAATTGTTGCTGCAAGTTGTATGCCTGCCCTCCTAGTAAATGGGTTGCCTCCTGCTTTCCCTACCAAACTGAAAGGGTGATTTTTGAGAGGTTCTGACTTCTAATATTGAACTGCTGGCCAGTATCCTGCTTGTTAATGAAACTGGAGTCTGATGAAGTCATGAACCTAATCAGAACCTTTCTGAAGCTTACTGTATAGATGAGACTTTGTGGTCAATAACTTGGAAGCCCGCTGTCAAGGGAAGGAAGTCTAGACCGCTTGGCACTTTCTCTCATTTACAGAAATCACAGATGAAGACAACAGCATAGCTGCCATGTACCAGGCTGTCAGTGAACTGCCCCAGGCCAACAGGGACACATTAGCCTTCCTCATGATTCACTTGCAGAGGTGAGTAGAGCAGAAACTTCTTCTGGGAGTTAGGGAATTTTCCAAGGAGAAGATAATATGGGTCGGATGTTAGAAGTGTGAAGGGTAAATTGCTTTCTTGTAGAATTTATGTTTTGGTCTACATTTAAGGGGAAAAGCAAGTCTTCTAATTTAATTCTCCTCTGCTTAGAGTGGCTCAGAGTCCAAACACTAAAATGGATGTTGCCAATCTGGCTAAAGTCTTTGGCCCTACGATAGTTGCCCATGCTGTGCCCAATCCAGACCCAGTGACAATATTACAGGATGTCAAGCGTCAACCCAAGGTAGGAGGGAATGGGAGAGAGAGAGGGAAGAAGGAAGGGAAGGGGAGGGGAGATGGAGAAGGAGAGAGATTGCAGTGTAATAACATAAGAGAACAGTGAGAACCTTGAGCTTTGGAAGCTTGTGAACATACTTGGTGCATTTTAGGTGGTAGAGCGTCTGCTTTCACTGCCCTTGGAATACTGGAGTCAGTTCATGATGGTGGAACAAGAGAATATTGATCCCCTGCGTGTCATTGAAAACTCAAATGCCTTTTCAACACCACAGACACCAGATATCAAAGGTCAGGGCTAAGTTGTACTTCTTCAGTTTTCTCTGTGTTTTAGCTACAGCTGTTTGATATTCATGTTCTTCAATAAAAATTAAATTTATTATGCAAGTTCTAACATTAATGGAGAAATTGTACATTTCTACCATCCTAATGTTTTTTCAATTTTTTTCTCTTTTTTTTGGTAGGGTCAAACTTAGAGTCTTACACTTGCTACAGCAACTGCGCTACCACTTGAGCCAAGCCCAATCATATATTTCTTTTTTCTTTTTTTTTTTTTGGGTCTGGTCGTGGGGCCTGAACTCTGGGCCTGGGCACTGTCCCTCAGCTCTTCAGCTCAAGGCTAGTGCTCTACCACTTGTGCCACAGCGCCACTTCCGGCTTTTTTCTTTTTGCTTATGGTACTGAGGAATCGAACCCAGGGCCTCATGCATGCATGGCAAGTGCTCTACCACTGAGCCACCTTTCCAGCCCCTGTCATATATTTCTTTCTCATGTAGATGTTTATTTTTTAAAGTTTGATATGACAACAATAGGATATAACTTGTTCTTATTTCACTTAGTATATTGTGACAGTTTTTTTTTTTGTTGTGGCTGTATAAACTTAATTTGCAATCTTACTTAAATGTTCCATTAAGTATTGACATTTTCTGTTTTTCATGGTTACAAATAATGATACAGCCAACATGATATGTATATTACCTAATGATAAATTCCTGAATGGAAATTAAAGGACTTGATCATTTTTGTTTCTTGATGTATTTTACCAACTTGATTTGTTTCTTTTATTTATTTTTGTTTTGTGGTACTGGGGATTGCACCTGTGGCCTTCTACAGTTGAGCCATACAACTTGAGCCACACTCCCCGTACTAAACTTTATTTTTTGGTTGGTGGTACTGAGATTTGAACTTAGGGCCTTGTATTTGCTAGTCAAGAGTTCTATAATTGTAGGTATGTGCCTAGCCTTTGTGCTTTGTCAGAGGAGGTCTCATTTTTGCTCACACTGGCCTGGATTGTGATCCTCCTGTTTAAACTTCTCTCATAGCTAGGATGACAAGCCTGTGCTACTGTATCCATATTATTTCTTTCTTTCTTTTTTTTAATTTACATGTTTTATTTGGAAATGTTTATACCAGAACAGTGAAATTAAATTTTAGAGACAATGGATATCATTAGTTTAGTTACCATCAGTTTATTATTAAAGGGAGATATGGAAATTATTTACATGATGAAAGCTCTCAGAACTTCCATGAAATGGGCAGCTTCACAGGATGCCATTTTAGTGATGTAGTCACTCTTTATACTTCCCAAGAATGTCACCATCCCTAAATAAGAAATAATCCTTGTCATCTAGAACTACTTTTGTGCCTCCATATTCTGGGAGAAGAACTTTATCACCCACTTTCACACTAACTGGCTGAATCTCTCCACCCTTTCCTTTAGAGCCTGATCCCACAGCCACTACTGTGGCTGGCAATACTTTTCCTTGAGACTTTTCTGGAAGCATAATGCCTCCTTTGGTTACAGATTCAGCTACACTCCTTTCGACCAACACTCAGTCAAACAGAGGAATGAACTTCCTAAATGCTTGTCCAGCCATGACTCTTCACAGTCGCCACTCGGACTCTGCTCTCACGCCGACGCTGCAACCCATCTTATTTCTTGAGATGGAGTTTCACAGTTTTTTTTTTGGCTGGCCTCGAACCCTGGTCCTCTTGAGAGTTAGCTGAGTTTACAGGCTCAACTTGGCCTGTTTTTGTTTTTGTTTTTGTTTGGCTGTGGGGCTTTGGATTTAGGGCCTGGGCGCTGCCCCTGAGCTCTTTTTCCTCAAGGCTAGTGCTCTACCACTTGAGCCACAGCACCACTTTCAGCTTTTTCTGAGTAGTTTTTTTGGAGTTTTTAAGAGTCCCACAGACTATCCTGCCAGCCTGGCCTGGAATCACAATCCTTAAATCTCAGCCTCCTGAGTAGCTAAGATTACAGGCACGTGCCACAGTGTCCAGTCCAAGTTGGCTTCTAAAGCTTTTCCACCAACAGTTTTGTGTGATTATGATGGAAGTTCTTTTTAAGGAAGCACATTATTCCAGTACATCTACAAATCAGTGTTCAGATGTTAGATATGTGAAGTTTGGAGTTTGAGAATGGAAGTGTATGTCAAGTATTCATTGAGTAGTTGCCTTGCATAGTTTAAAATATAACATCAGTATGTTACAAAATGATGACAAAAATGATCTGTGAGGTGTTGCTAGGTGTCTAAACTTAGCTTGTAAGTACTTTAGAAGGCAGTCAGCTTTAAACTGACCATCTTCAAAGGTGTGTTATTTTTTTTTCCTTCCTCTTAAAAATATGTCTTGATCTTTGTTTGAAGTGAGCTTACTGGGGCCTGTGACCACACCTGAGCATCAGCTTCTCAAGACTCCTTCATCAAGTTCCCTGTCACAGAGAGTCCGCTCCACCCTCAGCAAGAACACTCCCAGGTGTGCGGTATTACCTTCTTGTGAATAAAAAAATGACTGTTTCCTTAGACTTCTTCCCTAGTATATTGAAACCTACTGAAGAAAAATAAAAGTATATCATAGTAAGCTAGAAGTTAACCTTAAAAGGAAACTTAGAGACCCAGTGCTAGTAGCTTACATCTATAATCTTATTCAAGAAGTGGAGGATCATGGTTTGAAGCCAACCTGGGCAAAAAAAAGTTGGCAAGCCTTTATCTCAACTAATAAAAAGCTGGGAGCTCTAATTCAAGCCTGTCATCTCAACTATGGAGAAGGCTAAGATCAAAAGGATGGGAGTTCCAGCCAGCCTGGGCCAAAAAGGTCTTGAGAATTCATCTCAGCAACAAAAGCTAGGTGTGATAGTGTGCCTCTGTTATCCCAGCTATGGCAGGAAACGTGAATAGGAGGATTACAGTCCAGGCTATAGCTAGGGCAAAAAACAAAACCCTGTCTCAAAAATAATGAGCAAAAAGGTCTGGAGACATAGCTCAAGTGATAAATTGTCTACCTAGCAAGTGTGAATCCCTGAATTCAAACCCCAGTACTTTGAAAAAAGAAAAAAGGAAAAGTTGGAGCCCTGGTACCCATTTTTAAGAGGGTCTGGTTAGGTATGGTAGTGCATGCCTTTTAATGCAAGCTCTTACAGTCTAAGGCCAGGAGTATGAGCTTCATGTCCACCTGAGCTACATAGTGAGACTCTTTCAAAAAGACAAGAAGAATCTGAGGCCATGTACCAGTGGCTCACACCTGCAATTCTAGCTACTCAAGAGGCTGAGATCTGGGTGTTACCATTTAAAACCATCCCTGGCAGGAAAGTCCATGAGACTTTTAACTCCAGTCAACCACCCAAAAGCCAGAAGTGGAGGTGTGGCTCAAATGGTAGAGTGCTAGCTTTGGTCAAAAAAGCTCAGACAGCACCCAGGCCCTGAGTTCAAGTCCTAGGACTGGTCCACGTGCACACGCGCGTACAAACACATACACACACACTCAAACACACAAAAGAAAAGGGCTGAAGGTCTTTACTGTTTTTGTTTCAGTAGTACCAAGAATACATCACAGAATTGTCCAAGGTTTCCTACTTTTAGTCAGTTATATCTGCTAACATTGCAGTTGTTTATTTACCATTTGTATTTTCATGGAATATTTTCTGATTCATTCTTTTCTATTTTTTGTAGATTTGGGAGCAAAAGCAAGTCTGCCACCAACCTAGGACGACAAGGCAACTTTTTTGCTTCTCCAGTCCTCAAGTGAAGTCACCCTGCTTCCTACTTGCCAGCTTTTACTGACTGCAAGAAAGGGCACACCTGTACTCTGCTTTGCAGCCTCCGTACTACTTTTAGCATTCTCCAGGCTTTTAATCAAGTTTAATTGTGCATGAGGGTTTTATTAAAACTATATATATCTCCCTCTCTTTCTCCTCTAGTAACATAATATCAGCACCTTGTGCTAGTTGTTGTTAGAAACTTTTAGATGAGAGATCTTTTCTACAGGGGTAGGTAGAAGGGATAATATGGAATTTATTGTGATTCTTGGGGGTAAGGACATCCCTTTGACTCAAAACCAGATGCTATATAGAGTGACTTCTCTCGTTTTTATGTAGAACTAATTTTCATGAGACAGTGACTGAAACCCTACAGCTTTGGTAAGAGCAACTTAGGGCAGGAAGTGAGAGGGCAGGGTAAAGACAGGATTGGGCAGGGGATGCAGGATGGCTGCCTCTCAACACTGAAGTCCCTTTTCTCTCTTGAATTAAGCTGTAGCATGAGCCTGCAGAAAAATGGGATAGGTTGCAAACAGAACTAGTGGTGGGAGAATCTTTAGCTTTAATTTGGATTGATTAAATCTTAGTATAAAATGGCACAACCTTGTAATACTACAACTTGTATTTATCTCTAATGGACTACTGGCTGGGCTTTGGACTTGGTTGGGATCAGCGTTTGTTTGTTCTTCTAAAGTTGAATTCATTCTGATGGCTGACTCTCTTACCCCTTGTCCAGCAAAAGCCCTGTTTTCTAAAGGTCAGTTTGATGTCTGTCTGGCATCCCAGCTAACAATTAAGATTAGCTTGTAAAGAAAGTGTCAATATTTCGTGTGGCAATAAAAGCCACAGTCGTTTTTGCTTTTGCACTTTGGATGCTGAATTTTCCCATGAAACAGTCACATCTAGGTAAACGTGACTTTTCTTCTGTCAGATTATTCCCAATATCTGTAAAAATGGTTTTCTTCTGTAGAATGTTTCTGACTCACATTGACCTTTGTCTATAAGACTCATATTTGGAATAATATTTGGAGAAAAGTAAATAGCTTTTTCACAATGTGAGGCTGCTTTTCTTGTCTTGGATGGTAACTTCCAACACTTTTTAGAAAATAGCTTTCCTCAAAGTATTTTGGGTCTCTTGTTCATCTCCATTTCTCATTCCCTGTACCCAATGGCCACCCCCTTGTTCACCACTTTCAGAGATTTCTTTATTTCTTTTTCATTCTCTTTCTTTGTCCAAACTAAAAGTCTAGATATCATAACTATTATCCTATTTGAAGCAAGAACTTTAAACAAAAAAAAAACTTTTAAACTAGTCTCTAGGGACCAGACTGGTACAGATTTTTAAAAAAAGAAAATTTGCTGCTGGCTGGCGGGCTGCCTGGAACATCCTTCACTGCTGGAAGTGACTGTGGAGTGAGCTGGGCTGATTAACTGAGGGCACCTGCACTTGGAACTCTGAGGCTGGTGAACAGAATGTATTTGAGATTGAACGTAAACAGTTGCAGGCTTAATATGTAACCGTGGAGAGAGGAGGCAACCTACTGGCTTTTTTCCCAGGAGGGGGCAGCTCTCACAGCAGGGCCCATCTGCCTCAGTAAATTGACAGAGGATGGGTCCCATCTCCCCAACCCTCCCCCTTAACACACATGACTGCTAGGATTTAGTGTGATTTTTTTTTTTTTGTTTGTTTTGTTTTTTTAAACTTTGTCCTAGATGCTACCTCTTTTCTTGTCTTTGCAAGCCTCAAGTTGGCTTGGCTCCATATTTGCTGTTTTGTAGCATCTCCCCAAGGTGCATTTGAAGTCACTAATGTAGAGGAAGTAAATGGATTGTGTAACATTAGTGAAGGCAAGACTACCCTATGCAGGAATTGATGGCCCATAAATGAAAAAGGAAATAGTCCTGTGTGTCAAATGTTGGCAGCTCATAGTTGCTCAGATTTTGGGCTAAGCCAAGAACTCTTAGCTGTGAAAATAATTCTGATATTAGCAAAGGGGAAAATATACCCACTTTCAGCTTAACAGTGCTTCATGTGCAACAGCTTTGCTAGAGGGATTCCTTAATTAAATTATCTGTGCTTTGACTTGACTGGCGCCCCCATCTCTTGGTCCTCACCCTTTCTGATGCTGCCTCTTTCTTCACCTTTGATGCAATTTAACTTTATTTCATTTGCTAATAATGGGAATCTAAGTTGTTTTACTCCTGTTCTCAAGATTGTATAAGAATCCTGAAGCCAGGAGCTGATGGCTCATGCCCGTAATCCTAGCTACTCAGTAGGCTGAAATCTGAAGATCACATTTCCAAGCCACCCTGGGCAGGAAAGTCCGTGAGACTTTTATCTCCAATAAACCACCAGAAGAATGGAAGTGGTGCTGTGGCTCAAGCGGTAGAGCGCTCACCTTGAGCTGAAGAGCTCAGCACCAAGCGGGGGAGTTCAAGCCCCACAACAGACAAAAAAAAGAATACTAAGTGTGATGGTTTTGTTTGTTTGTTTGTTTTAAATTACTGAAACAAAGTCTTCTAAGAGGCCTAAGTGTCTGGAACCTGTTATGTAGCCCAGGCTGACCTAGAACTTGTGATCATCCTGCCTTAGCCTCCTGAGTGCTAGGAGTGTAGGAATGCCCTACCTTGCCTGGCTGTGTGTTTGATGCTTTTCAACTGGACAGGTAATCCAGTATTTTTTTTTTTTTTGGTCTGTTGTGGGGCTTGAACTCTGGGCCTGGGCGCTGTCCCTGAGCTCTTCAGCTCAAGGCTAGTGCTCTACTGCTTGAGCCACAGGTTCACTTCTGGTTTTCTGAGTGGCTAATTAGAGATAAGAATCTCACAAATGGTCCTGGCTGGCTGGCTTTGAACTGTGATCCTCAGATCTCAGCCTCCTGAGTAGCTAGGATTACATGCATGAGCCACTGGTGCCTAGCTTGTTAACATAGAAGACATCTTAGTTTCAGTTAGAAGACAGGATGCAGTTGACTTCCAGAAAAAAAATTAGCCACAAATTGAACTTGTGGTAATAACATTGGATAGCTGAGAGCAAAGAAAGGATTGTTGTTTTTGTTATAATAGGCACTACCTGCCCTCCTCAGATAGATTCATGTACAGTAGCCCCTTTGACTTTCAGAGGATATGCTTCAAGATCCCCCAGTGCTGCCTGTAAACCATAATCATAGATACACACACACATACATATATATACACACACATATATATGTATATATGATGTATATATTATATATACTACATATATGTATTATTTATAGTATATACATTATATATAATAAATTTTAATTTATAAATTAGATATAGAATATACTATAATGAAAATTATATGATATCTCAGAATAAGAGTTTTTGCTTTTGAAAGTGTGGAATCTGCACAGTACGAGCTTTATCATGTGGCCTGCAGTAGTAACACATAATTGCAGAGTTAATCTGTCTCCCCATTTTATGCCCGATGAGTCCTTTACATTTTACATTTTTGCTGAATAGGTTTATTTTTATATGCAAAGCCTCACTTGCTAGGCAGGCCCCCTAACGCTTGAGCCATGTCTGCACTTCCTTTTCCTGTTGTTATTTTTCAGATAAGGTCTCACACATTTTGCTTGTGGCTGGTCTCGCACCATGATTCTATCTCTGCCTCCCATGGAGCTGAGGATACAGCTAGGAGCCACCCAACTTGGTGTAGGTTCCATTGGTCATCTTCTGGAAGTTTTATGGAAACTGAAGTCATGGATTATGTCCTTTTTCCATCAAATTTAGTTCTGTTGGAGAACAGCTTCATTAACAGATAGTCTCTTGGTAACATATACTTTTCAGTCCAAACCTGTTTCTCAATCTGTGGGGCTATCCCTTTTTTTCAGTAAATAGCTTGGTGTCACGGTTTCTTTACTAAAGCCTTACTAAGGCCTTTGTACAAGCTCTTTGCTTTCTGGTACAACCCACTGCAGTCAGTTAAAACACATTTTCTGTTCACAGCTTCCACCCATAAATTGAATGTCCTACATCTTTTTTTTTTTTTTTTTTTAGTCAGTCTTGGAGCCTGATCCCTGGGCCTGAGTGCTGTCCCTCAGCTCTTCAGCTCAAGGCTAGCACTCTACCACTTGAGCCAGAACGCCATTTCCGGCTTTTACTGCTAATGTGGTGCTGAGGAAGCGAACCCAGGGCCTCATGCATGCAAGGCAAGCACTCTACCACTGAGCCACCTTCTCAGCCCCATCTTCTACATTTTAACTACATACTCATCACACCCTTTTGTAGTCTGAGAGGTATGACAACCAATTGCTCAAATCACTTTTTTTACTTAAAGAAAGCTCTTTTTGGCCTATCCACGTCACCAGCACGATTACTTGTGTTTTGTGACCATTATTAAGTAAAATAAGGGTTACTTGGCTACAAGCACTGTGACAACCTGCTAGATGGTCTGACAGTTAATGGGCAGGTGGCGTGCATTATACATCCCAGGGAGGACAGAGAAGAATGGAACAAGAAAGTCATTATGCTTACTAAGAACTCATGATTCAAAACTGATGAATCATCCATTTATGGAATTTTCCATTTGATGTTTTTGACTCATGGTTGACTGCAAGTAACTGAAACCACAGAGGGGGGCGCTAGTGTACCCATACATACGTATCCACATGCATAACCATATCTACACACACTGCATGTCTGACTTCTATTGGAAAGCACTTAAGGAATTCACTGGTATGCTAAGTGGTTTTCTTATATACATATGACTTTTTCTAGGGTTCTCACCATGACCAAAGAAGAGGTATTATAGAAGCCTACATTTGAGAAGTGAGGCTGACAGAGTTCAGTGTTCAAGTCAGCACAGTTCATAGTAGATTTTCAACAATGTGCTTTGATATTTGATATGATCATCATGACTTCAGGTGTCAACCACTGGTTTGAAAATCCTTGCAGAATTGAGACTTTAGCATTGTGCTTTTAGTATAAACAGGGTTTAGAGAATGGTCACTTAACATAAGAACTTGTTTTTTAAAATATACTTCCTGTAGCTGGCATGTTTTGTAAATAAACATTGGGCCCTAGCAGCCTAACTTGTATACTTTATCAGACACTGGTTCTCAGAGCTATGTTTGTTGATAGTTTCTATTCATGTAGTTGTGTCAGTTCAACTTCAACAGGAATAACCTTGTGAGAGCTTTGTCCTCTACAGGTATGTGGGAGGGGAAAGGAGACCAAATTTGGTAGACTCACAGTTGGAAGTAGGAATTTTTCATTTTCCTTACCTTCTCCCCCATAACTTGCCAGGTTTTATTAAGCTTTATTCCTCACCTCCCCACCATGGTCCTGGCCTGAACTCAGAGCCTGGGCTCTGTCCCTGAGATTTTTTTGTTTATTGGTCATGGGGCCTGAACCCTTGGCCTGGGTGCTGTTCCTCAACTCTTCAGTTCAAGGCTAGTGCTCTACCACTTGAGCTACAGAACCACTTTCAACTTTTTCTGCTTAGGTGGTACTAAGGAACCGAACTCGAGGCCTCATGCATGCAAGGCAAGCACCTTAACACTGAGGCACCTTCCTAGCCTCTGTCCCTGAGATTTTTTTATGCTCAAGGCTGGAGCTCTACCACTTGAACCACAGCTCCATGACTGGCTTTCTTACCCAGGTTGACTTTCAGCTGTGATCCTCAGATCTTGCCTCCCGAGTAGCTAGAATTACAGGCTGAGTAGGCTTACAGGCATGAGCCACCAGTGTCCAGTTAGCTTCACTGTTATTTTATATCCAAAAATCACCTCATCTCACATCTGGGCACCAATCCAGTGTTAGGCTCAGACCCATATAAATGGGTAGTGAGACTTGTGAGTAATGCACTTGTCCATTGCTGTCTTCTTTGGGCATCACTGCAGATGATATTAAGACCTGATTTTCTGGAAGTGCTGCTGTGTCCAAAATGGTAAAGCCTCAGTGGTAGAGCGCTTGCCTTGCATGCATGAGGCCCTGGGTTCGATTCCTCAGCACCACATAAGCAAAAAGAAAAAAAGCCGGAAGTGGCGCTGTGGCTCAAGTAGTAGAGTGCTAGCCTTGAGCTGAAGAGTTGAGGGACAGCGCCCAGGCCCCACGACTGGACCTCCCCCCCCCCCAAAAAAAAATGGTAAACCACTAGCCTTGAGCAAAAGAGCTCAAGGATAGCACCCAAGCCCTGAGTTGAAGCCCCACGACAAAAAAACAAAACCTGATTTTTCTAAAAACCCTTAGGAAATGTAATGTTTTATACTCAATGCTATCATTACCTACTTGATCTCATCACATCTCTATGTGGTAGGCAGGACAGGTGATGTCCCAGGTGGCAAATTCAGAAATGATTTGGGCCAAACTCACAAACTAATGCCTACTTGATCTGGGGTTAGATCTTGGAGGTGGCACCTCTTAATCTGGAGGTCAGCTATGGTGCTTGCGACTTTTAGCATTTGTGGGATCTGTTAATCATGTATCATAAGGTATTAAATCCTGTGACATTTACTTAGGCCCAGTATTGTTTATATCCCAGGCAAGGACGGGTCTTGTTATGCAAAATTAGCAAATGCAAAATGAGCAACACTGAAAATGACTATTTACCTTTCAGAAGTTCTCCCCATTATTAGAACATTTTTTTTTCTTATTTTGAGACAGAATCTTATTATATTGCCCATGCTGATCTTGAATTCCTGAGCTCAAGGGATTCTACCTCAACTTCCTGAGGGCTGAGTTTACAAACTTGTGTTACTACACATGGTTCTGTAAGAACTTCTGTTTGTAAGTCATACCCAACTTAGGGCCAAGTTTCCATTGACTATATTAATGTAGTTGTGCACTGCCAGGGAGGTCTGGACTCTTAAGGAGAGAATTTGGGACAGTTGCAGTGGTTAGAAGAATGGAGAACCTGAGCATAGTGACCTCAGGCTGTTTTCTGTGTGCAAGGAGGATGATGAGCTGGTGTTAGCCCTTGAAGGTGGTAGTCAGTTCTCAGGCCTCCCATGTATGGTTTGTGTGCTGTGAAACTCTAAGCCAAGAACAGGCAAGTCTCTGAGCCAAGCTAAGCCATCAGCCTACTTTGAGGAACGTGTCAGCGGATTAGTTTATTGGCTTTC